AGCTGAGGTAGAAATTGCTAGGCAGTGAGTGTAGGACTCTGAGACCTCAGTCTTGTTTTCATAAACATCTGGCTCCATTAGTGTAAATTTATACCCTTTCTCCCAGTTCCTGGAATGTGTGCTTGCTGTGCTAAATTATCAGCACTCAGACCCAGGGATGGGAGTAACTAACTTCTGCTCCATAAGCCTGAGGGAAAAACAACTGAGGATCATTAACCTTAAGCCCATATATCAAAGTCAGTTCAGTGGCTCAGTTGCTCAGTCCTGACTCTTTGCGACCCCATGAATCGCAGCATGCCAGGCCTCCCCGTCCATCACCAACTCCCAGAGTTTACTCAAATTCATGTCCATCGAGTCGGTGACACGCCATTCAACCATCTCATCCTCTGTCGTCCCTTCTCCTCCCGCCTTCAATCTTTGCCAGCACAAGGTCTTTTCCAGTGAGTCAGTTCTTTGCATCAGGTAGCCAAAGTATTGGAGTTTCAGGTTCAGCCTCAGTCCTTCCAATGAATATTCAGGACTGATTTCCTTTAGGATGGACTGGTTGGATCTCCTTGCAGTCCAAGAGACTCTCGAGAATCTTCTCCAACACCTCAGTTTAAAAGCATCGATTCTTTGGCATTCAGCTTTCTTTATAGTCCACCTCTCACATCCCTACATGACCACTGGAAGAACCATAGCTTTGACTAGATGGACCTTTGTTGGCAAAGTAATGTCTCTACTTTTTAATATGCTGTCTAGGATAGTCATAGTTTTTCTTCCAAGGAGCAAGCATCTTTTAATTTCATGGCTGCAGTCATCATCTGCAGTGATTTTGGAGCCACTCAAAATAAAGTCTCACACTGTTTCTATTGTTTCCCCATCTATTTGCCGTGAAGTGATGCCATGATCTTAGTTTTCTGAATGTTGAGTTTTAAGCCAACTTTTTTTACTTTTCTCTTTCACTTTCATCAAGAGGCTCTTTAGTTCTTCTTCACTTTCTGCCATAAGGGTGGTGTCATCTGCATATCTGTGGTTAGTGGTATTTCTCCCAGCAGTCTTGATTCCAGCTTGTGCTTCATTCAGCCCAGCGTTTCCCATGATGTAATTTGCATAGAAGTTAAATAAGCAGGGTGATAATATACTGCTTTGAAGTACTCCTTTCCCAATTTGGAACCAGTCTGTTGTTCTATGTCCAGTTCTAACTGTTGCTTCTTGACCTGCATACAGATTTCTCAGGAGGCAGGTCACATCTGGTATTCCCATTTCTTTAAGAATTTTCCACAGTTTGCTGTGATCCACACAGTCAAAGGCTTTGGTGTAATCAATAAAGCAGAAATAGATGTTTTTCTGTAATTCTCTTGCTTTTCCTACAATCCAACAGATGTTGGCAATTTGATATATGGTTCCTCTGCCTTTTCTAAATCTAGCTTGAACATCTGGAAGTTCATGGTTCATGAACTATTGAAGTCTGGCTTGGAGAATTTTGAGCATTACTTTGCTAGCGTGTGAGATGAGTGCAATTGTGTGGTAGTTTGAACATTCTTTGGCATTGCTCTTCTCTGGGATGGGAATGAAAACTGACCTTGTCCAGTCCTGTGGCCACTGCTGAGTTTTCCAAACTTGCTGGCATATTGAGTGCAGCACTTTAACAGCATCATCTTTTAGGATTTGAAATAACTCAACTGGAATTCCATCACCTCCACTAGCTTTGTTTGTTGTGAAACACAACTGATGATTATTAATCTTAAATCCATACATCTGATCCATTGTAAAATGACAAGGGGGCATGAAAAATGGTGGCAAATTAATCCAAGGATCAAGAGAAGCCATAAAGATGTTAAGCATCTTGACCTTTAAGGACAGGAGCCAGCCAAAAATGTACAGATTAAGGATATAAAACTGCTGTAATTCCCACCTTTGGGTGACTCTCTACCACCTCTCAGTGTCTATGCTAAGAGCTTTGTACTTTCCTTCTCTTTAGTAAATCCTGTTTGCTTGCTACCCTGAGTGTTTGCATGTTCATGAAGTTCATTCTTCAGCTCCAGAAACAAGAACTCGAATTCCCATTTCATCTCTACAGCTTCTTCTTTGTTTTTGATGTGGGGTCCCTTTTTTTCGGTGGGTTCCAGTGTCCTCCTGTCTATGGTTGTTCAGCAGTTAGGTGCCAGATAGCATTATTTTAGAACACAATAATCCCACCCAAGGAGCCAGGAAACTGGGCTAACTGAAGAATTTGCTTTTAGTTAATAATCACGTACTTGAACTCATATTTTCTTGCATCATTGCCAGGCTGGAGGTGAGATTGATGGGTTAGGAGGTACTGAGGCATGTTGAACACCTCTAATAAGTACCTAAAATGTGTTTTAACAAATTTATTAGGATATGAAGCACATTTTGAGATTATGAGCTAAAATGTGGACAAATATATTTTATCAATTAAGAACAAACAACCAGACATCATTTGTCCTTATCCAGAATTTATGACAAGGTGCTGTATTTTCATTATCTGTGATACTATAATATGCTTGGCTTTGGTATATACTTTAAGAAACTAAAAAAAAAAAAAAAAGAAACTCAAAGAATTTTAATTATATTATTTCTTTGATAAATCAGGAAAAATGGGAATACTTATTTTAAGAATAAATATTACATAAAGTACATTAGCTTGCATTATGTTTCTTCATTCAGAAAATCTATTAACCATCCTACCCTTTTAGTTAGCAACTTTGTAGCTATCCTGAGGCAAGAAAATCTATAGCTATACTCTGGAAAATCTGTTTCTTGAAGAAAGGAGTCTTCATGATTGAAAACTGGTAAAGATCTGAGATGATGTTAATTTCACATCTGTGCTGTCCTTTGGTACTAACTGAAATACTAACAGTGGATTTGTGTTTGGTTTCTGTTTTTTTTTTTAGGACAGTTTATTCTGTGTTGTAGCGGCATTTGGCTGTTTCTACTATTGAATCTTTGAAAGCTGGAAAAAGATACGACTATGAAGAAATATGGACTTTTTTACATTGTTAAATATCTTGACAAAATAAAGTGGACAGTTTGGCAACTGAGTCTGTTGAGTTTTAGGTCTTATTTTAATGTTTCAATTTCATTATAACATGTTACTACATTTAGAAGGTATAGGAAAAAGTAGGGACAATCCATAATGCAGTTGTTCAAACATAACCAGTGTTTTTTTACTTACAGGGTTAAAAACATCATATATACAGTTTTGTAACCTGGTTTTTCACTTATGTCGTGTACAATTTTTATATCATTTCCTTTGATTATAATTTTCATTAGCATACATTAATAGTTGCAATTCCATTAGGCTATACACCATTGGTTATTTTTGCCATGTCCTTATTGTGGGATTGATTATTTATAATTTTTCACTATAACTAACTCTGAGATCAGCTTACTTGTGCATAAAGTTTTTTTCCTGCATTTTAAATTATTGCCTCTATCGTTCACCTAGTATTTTTACTCCTCTTGCCACTCTACACTTTCCACAGCTTGTTAGTTTAAACCTGTATTTGTTTTACCCAGTGTTTGCCCAGTGTTATGACTGAAGAGTTTCTAGGCTGTATATGAAATTAGCTTCCCTTAAGACCCTCAGAGGTTATGATGGTACTATCCCAACTTCCACTGTCTTTGTAGTAATCTTCCCCTTACATGTCTTCTCCAGCTAACTGTCCTTATTTCAAGCACCTTAGTCTATCTGCCCTGTTCAAATAACGATTTGAAACTCAAAAGGGAAGGGTCACAATATAAATCCTTTATTTTCCCCTGGTAGCTCCTCAGCAGCTGCTTACCCACCATATTTCTTCTCAGCCGCTTTCAAGATAAGCGTGTAAACAAAAATAAGTAAATACATGGAAAAGTTCTTTTACATACTTATTCTGTAACATTGGCTATTTACTTGCCTTGTTGAAAGTTAAAGTGTTAGTCACTCAGTCCTGTCCACTGTGCGACCCCATGGAGTGTAGCCAACCAGGCTCCTCTGTCCATGGAATTGCCCAGGCAAGAATACTGGAGTGGGTTGCCATTCCCTTCTCCAGGGGATCTTCCCCACCTAGTGATGAAACCTGGGTCTCTTGGATTGCAGGCAAATTCTTTATTGTCTCAGCCACCAGGGAAGCCCATCTACAAGGGACTCCTCCAAAGGGGTTTGCTAGTTTCTTTCTAGCAAAAGAAAACATTTCTTTTCACCAGTAACCCTGCTGTGTGATTTCCTACCAGTGGCCACCAATTCAAGAATTGTTCCTGCTCAGATGGCCCCAAGTTGATACCTAGGGATCATCTCTTGGTGAGCCAATCTGGGTTAGAAACAACCGGAACACAGAGAGCTTTTCACAGGACTTGGTTGGCGGACGTGCATCTCTTCACGTCACCCAGTAGGGAAAGGTTGGCGCTGTGTGAAGCAGTTGCAGACCATGGTGTGGAGGTAGGGGGTGTCAAGGTTGGAAGGTGTCGCGGCCATCTGCATTGTGAATGTGCTGGTATACGAGTGCCTGGCACCGCGTCAGGCGCTGGGATAGAGCAGGAAGGACTAAAACGGACAGGTCCGCCTGGGAGGGACTGAACCCGGAGGTGGGCAAAAGGCGAGCCACCACGTTAACGCTTCTTGACGGGCTGCCAGCAAGCAAGAGTGACAAGCCACAGACCTGTCTTATTACAAGGTACATCCCATTTCTTCACCGCATAGTCCAATTCCGCAAGGTAAGTGACCCTTTGCCATTTTATGTTGGCTCTTGGTGAGTTCTGCTCATGGAAGCGGAACCACTGTGTCAGAGGTGGTTTTCGAAGAGAAGTCGTGGTCGGAGTGATAAGAGGGAGGGCAATAGGCGGGATTTCCGGTCCGCGCTTCCGTCAGCTGCCTTTCCCGGGCGTCTCCCCGCAACCTCCTCAATTTCCCTTGTCAGTGACGCGGCGCTCTGGAGAAGTTCGACGGGACAGTGACCAGGGGCCAGGGAAACGTGAGCTGCAGGTAAGGACCGGGTGTGTATATATCCTTGCGGCTCTCTTTGAGAGGAGAAACTGTGGTGCTGGGACCGCCAGGAGGAGCGACTGAAAGAAGAGTGGGTCAGTGACAGCGAGGGGAGTGTGAGGCTACCACTGCGAGGCTACTGTGACCCAGGGGCATTGACAATGAGGGGACTGTGGCTGAGACGTAGCTGCTTGCGAGGGGTCTGTGACCCAGCAGCAGTGAATACTAAGGGGCTCTGACCTCGGAGAACACGAGGCAGAGGCTGTGTGAGGAATGTGACCGAGGAAGTATGAAGCAGTGACAGCGGGGAACTGTGACCAAGGGCCAACGACTCGGAGGAGACTGATCGATGGATAGTAACTGTGAGAGGACTCTGACCTAAGGGAACATGAAGCAACAGCTGCGAGGGGACTCTAACCAAGGAGCAGTAACTTTGAGGGGGCTGAGTTGGAGAAGACTGTGGGATCAGTGACTGGACAGGGTACTGTAGCGTTTTGTTTGAGTAGGGGGTGTGGTGACTGGGTGAAGGTTAGACAGACCTGAGTTTAATCTGATAGACTTCTTGTGGCTGGGAAGCTTACCTCACCATTGAGCTACAGTTTCTTCCGTCGTGAGTGGGAAGTTTGGATTAGATGAATGTTTCCTAAATTGTGGGTTCTGTCCTGTTATTGGGTTGTGTAGTCCATTTAGTGGAGGGAACCTGAAATTTACCAAAAAAAAAAAAGAAATAGACCTGAAATTTTCACATAATAATAGTATTATTTCATGAAACTTGTTTCAGTTATGTATGTGTGAGGTTCTGATGCAAAATGAATTTCATGTGTCTTAAAATGTAGTAAAAAAGTTGGGAAAACATTGGACCAGATTATTTCTGAGTTTTTCTTCTGGCCTAAAATGTCATGATTCTACAGTGAGGGGACTATTTGGAAATACCAAGATGCAATTAGGAAGATCTGGGGCTGGGGCACATCCTCCACCAGATTGACTTAACTGAAGAAGGCTTCCCAAATAAAATTGGAGTAGTTTTAACTGAGACTGAAACTCAGGTCCTCAGTTAGGAGAACCAGTACTTATATATTGAAATAGGGACAGTGATATTTAGAAAGACAGTGAGGATATAGGGTTTTATGATGGGAAAAACTGTTAGGAATAGACAGTGAGTAAGAGGGAAGCTTTGAAGAGGGTAGAGACAAGGCTTAGAAAGGGAACTGAAGATAGAGACAGAAAAGATTCTGCTGAGAATAAAGTGACCTTCAGGGTCCTTTTCAATCTTAATATTTAATGATTCTGTAAATACAGAGAAATTGCTAGTAAAAAGGCACTGGTTGAGAATGAAATTTGGTGCAGTAATCTGTGGTGAACAAATGATCATCATGGAGAAGACAGGATGACCTGGAGAGGTCAACAGTGGTGACTAGAATGCCACAGAGGAGAAGCTTTAATGTATTTAGCTATCCAGCTCAATGATTTTTGTACTTTGGAGGCCAAGACTGGCCTACTGGGAATGATACCATGCTGTGGATAATTCAACTGATGTTTTAGCGTGGGTTTATTTCCTACTAATGCCCTGTCATGAGGTCTGTTAGTGATGCAGATGAAATTGAAGTGAGTTTCACTACTTCCTCCTCTTTTACAGCCCTTTGTAGAAGGTGCTACTTATTGATTGTGTCACTTAGTGTTTTTAAAAAATATATCTAATAGAAGAAGCTTGAGACAGTTTTAACTTACCAGACACTGTATTTATCTGATAACCTGATAGTCACTCCCACCCTTTATACACATATACACTGTCATAGTGGAAGAGATTTCAGAACGATACTTAAATGGGAATCAGTTGAGAATGGTGAGGGATAGCCTTTTTTTGGTGGCACCAGTCTTAGTTGCAGCACAAGGGATCTTCAGTCTTCCTTGTAGTATGTAGGATCTTTAGTTTTGGCTTTTGTGATTTAGTGCCCTGATCCAGCCCCCTGCATTGGGAGTATGGAGTCTTAGCCACCGGACCACCAGGGAAGTCCCAGGGAGAGCCTTTGTTTAGCTAAAATTGTCTGTTTCTAGAATATTATATGTTTACTAGGCTTACATTCTATATAACTAAAAGGAACTACTCAAGCATTTGTTCCTAGAACAGAATATACTACTTGAAGGTTACTCATCACCAAAGGGAAGATGTTCATGCTTGGGGACTGCAGCACTGCCTCTGGGGTTATTTGTGTTTGCTGAATGAAATGATTCTTTTTGATTTGACCTGCTTTGTAAATTCCTTTTGGAAACCAATATAATGGCCTAATTGATTAAGAAAGAACATTATTCCTTCCTCAGCCTATGATGTCTTCTCTCATAAACAGGTGAGGTTTTTTTTTTCTTGAGGATCTCCTTTTTGGATATGCGATTCCTTAAGGAGAATCTAGTCAGAGCCTTGGATTCCTGGTGACTTTATCTGATGTTAACACTGACTATGGGAAGAATTATTGCTTTCTTTTGCTTTAGATTTCCTTACTGTGGCAGAGAAAGCTGTTCTTCTGGTTAAATAGTCCTTTAATAATCTGAAAAATATGCATACTAACCACATTTAGTATACAATTTCATGGAGTTTGTTAACCATCTGCCCTCATTCATGATTTTCCTGTGGAGCTATCTAATCTGTAGGTTAGACGTGATTCCCCTTGGGAGCTGAATAGCCTCTTTGTGTTATAAACTCTGATTAATTTATGAAATATTCATAGAAAAAGCAAGCATAGTAATGATGGATAAGGACAAAATATCTAATAATAATTGTAATTTTCTTATGTTTTTCTTTCACAGTACTTACATAACTCATCTGAAGCCAGATCTTCTGACTTTCCTAATAGAGATAATTCCTCCTACTGAATCAAACAGAAGTTCTTACGCTAACATTTATGTTCTCCTGAAATAGATTAGAAAGAATAAGTTTTTCTAAAATTCATGATTTAGGGCGAGTTTTTTCAGTTAGAGAAATCCTAAAGTCAGGCTACTTCCCAATCATCACTGGACTTTGAGAGCTCCTTTTTATTCAAGATTGTGGCTGATTCTACATCTTTTACTTATGTCTACATAAGTCACATTAGAAAATAATAGGAAGAAGAGAGTGAGAACAGGGCTCAACTTTCTTGCTTATCTGCCTAGAGAGTAACTTCTAGCATTTTCTCTTTCCTAAGCTTAAACCTTTCTGTTTCTAGTCCTAAACTTTTCTTTTCACAATATTCCTGTCAAATAGGTACCTGCACACATGTATGACATATGATTTGTTAATTGTTTATGAATGGTTTGTGACAAAATTTAAATCCTAACTCTATTCCTCTGTAATTTAATCAGTAAATTCAGGGAATATACATTTTTACATACTTTTATTTTGCAGTATATGCCAGGGCACCATTCTAGAAGGAGAAAAAAAACAAACAGTCTCTAGTATATATTTGGCACTGTGTTAGGTTTGTTTACATACTTCATTAATATAATAAATGAATTTCCTGTATTTTCCTGTTTGCAGATCACATAAGTAGATAGATATATAGCAGGATTGGAGGGAGATTTGTTTGTTTTTCTGTCTTTTTTTCCTCTCTTTCTGTTGGTAACTCTCTTGTTGAAAATTTAGTTTGAAGCTTTCTGCATTTGGACTAGAATGTCTATCAGGGGAACCCATGGATTTGCTATGCTGTTATATCACATTCACAACTCTTTGCAAACCAGTTTGAAGTGAAGGCTGCTAAAAATAGTGATTTATAATCTTTGTTCTATGTTAGAGAACAGAATGAGTGTATGGCACTTAATAGAAACTGGGTGATTCTGGTTTGTTTGTTTGTTTTTTTGGCCCTTAAGTCTTAATCTTTTTTGTTCCATGGAACACTTTGGCATTGTGGTGAAACCTTGTGGACTCCTTTTTTTGATTAATGTTTTTATATGCAAAAAATAGATAAATTATAAAGAAAACAAATTGTGTTGATAAGTAGCTATCAAAATATTTTTTAAATGTGTGAAATAGCACATGTAGTTTTTAACATAGTAAATAAAGCTTGCTGTCTATCAGTGGGTCTTAGAACTATGATAATTTTTAAATGATCATGTGTTTAAATAGTATTTCAAGATATTTGTACCAAGTGTAATATTATATTAAAATATCTATGATTTCTATTGGTGACAAAGTCTATTTTACTGAGTCTACTATTACTGTTGTGGCTTACATTCATAATTGAAGGATGGTGGATTTGCCAAAGGCTAGTGAAAATAAAGATATACTTTTTTTAGTCTAAATCCCAGATTCCCTGAATCTGTCATAGACCCTGCCTTACAGATATAAAATCTAAGAGAACAAAATCTAAACACAGGGTTTACACACTGATTCTTCCAGTAGGATAGTGGCAGAGCACATTGTTCAACTGTAAGAACTGTTATAAGTTTCTGGTTTTTTAGGATAACCTCTGTCCTGAAATCCAGCCCTCTGTGGTCAGGCCTAAGCACAAACTTTATTTTGGTCCATGACTAACCCAGAGTCTGACACAGAGTAAGTGCCCACTCAGTGTTTGTTGAATAAGTGTTTCTCTGGAGAGATTAGAGGGAGAGATCAACTTCAAAGCATAGATCTTAGATGTGGCCATTTACTGATTCTAAATATTGAGGAGTAACATTGAGCCCTGACTTAAGACTAATCTGTCTGTGCAGATAATGTTGTGAAATCACCTTTACGTTTAGAATTTCCCAAAGCAGGCATTCTTTTGACTTAACTATATGGTGTAGTGATATATACTGGTTAGTGACGTTGTTACTGTTGTAGTCGCTAAGTGATGTCCGACTCTTTGCGATCCCATGGACTTTTTAGCATGCCAGGCTCCTTTGTCTTCCACTGTCTCCTGGAGTTTCCTCAAATTTATGTCTATTGAGTCAGTGATGGTATCTAACCATCTCATCCACTGTTGCCCCCTTCTGCCCCTGCCTTCAGTCTTTCTGAGCATCAGGGTCTTTTCTAATGAGTCGGCTCCTCACGTCAGGTGGCCAAAGTATTGGAGCTTCAGCTTCATCATCAGTCCTTCCAATGATTACTCAGGGTTGATTTCCTTTAGAATTGACTGGTTTGATCTCCCTGTAGTCTAAAGGGACTCTCAAGAGTCTTCTCCAGCACCACAATTCAAAACCATGCGTTTTTCAGTGCTCAGCCTTCTTTATGATCCAATTCTAACATCTGTACAGGATTACTGGAAAAACCATTGCTTTGACTAGACAGACCTTTTTGACAAAGTGATGTCTCTGCCTTTTAATACTCTAAGTTAGCTATTCTTCCAAGGAGCAGGCATCTTTTAATTTTATGGTTAGTGACATAAATTGCCATAATCCTGTATCAGAAAGTTATATGCAAGGACTTCCCTGGCTAAGACTCCAAGCTCCCTAATTCAGGGGTCCCAGGTTTGATCCCTGATCAGGGAACTAGATCCCACATGCTGCAACTAAGATCTGGTGCAGCCAAATAAA